CTCCAAAGAGAAAGGAAAACTTGAAATCGCATCATATGACCCCTTTAACAATCAGCTTGATACCCTTCAGAGGATTTCTGGACTGGACTTCTCCTGCTCTGTTAAAGCTCATAACGCTCACATGAGTAACTCGGAGGTGTAGATTGACCTTTCAGTCCAATTGCTATCTGGTATTTATCCTCTGCAATGTTGCCTCTGTACTCTTCTAAATTGCTTTGTTCTTTTGGTTCCCAGTAAGGCTAAGTAATTCTGCCCTCTTCATCCCTCGCCGAACCCTCCTCCTTCCTCTCACCGAAGCAATTTAGCCGAGAGCGAGGCAGATTCTCCCAACACTATAATTGCTGTTTCTACTGAAACACCAAACCTTATTACGTCTTCTCCAAATTACCACCCAATCGTCCAACTGTAATAGCCTTAAACATCTCACACAAATAGAAGAGAAAAACCTGTGATCCACTGCTTCATCATAGCAAACAATGCAACCGTTTGTTCCAGTTAACAAAGCGAGTCAGTTGCATGGAAACATCCTTTTTTTAGTTTCATTGTCACGTTTTGGACGTCACTCAAGCTCCATGCGTGTATTTAAACACTAATCTTGCATAGATGTTTTTCCTGAAAAGGATTCATACAAATGAATGCATGATGTTTCAATTAATTTTTAACGTGCTTTGTAATGCACTTTGCTTGTGTGCTATTTAGGAGGGTTGTAAAATCGAAAGGCTTTAGTGTTTCATTTCATACCACAAAATGAAGATCTGAGAGAAGACATATCAAACCGAATATCAAATGTGAAATGATTTTTTGTTAAACGAGACAGGTTTGTGATGCTCGGAGAAATAATAAGTCTTCAACAAACCAATTAAATGTTGATGTAGCTAACGCTGTGAACCCGACGGGAAGTCTCTGAGACTCCGCTTCATTTAGAGCAGAGCGACCCACACAAACTCCCTGAGACATCCGCTAGCGTAATCAGCTTGTCTCCTCCATATGCCTGTTTCCATCAGGAGAGCATCCTGAGGCCTTTCCAAACATCTGCCACAACAAGCTACTCAACGCACATTTTTCATCATGTTTCTTTCTCTTTTTTTTAGCTTTAAAGGAAATGTTCACCCAAAAATAAAACTCCTGAGTCATTTCAGAATGCTGTGCTGGTAAATTGAACATTCCTTAAAATGAACATGTTTTTGCTGAACAGCATAAATATATTTTTACACAGGCTGTCGTGTTGACTGCATTTGTCAAACTCCATGTTACAAAAGATATGATATTAGAAGATATAAAGATGTTAATAAAAAAAAGATAATTTAAATGTATTTATTTCGTTTTTTTTCGTAATATATACACACACACACCCACACATTTTGTTCTAATAATAATGTTTATTTAATTTTTACTGGTAGAAAATAAAAGTGTTCTAACAGTATTTAGGCATGGTTTGCCTAGGCATTTTCTAAAGGTCAAGCATCTCCTTTCATTGAGCCCTTAGTGTTGACTATAAATTTCAGACCCTATTTTGTGTCCTGTTCATGGAAAGTTCCAGATGAAGGGCAAGGTTCAGCATGGGGGAAAAACAAATCCTAGGTTTCCATAGTTATCCATTCATTATGTACATGGAAAATGAAAAGAAACAGATGTGAGTATTTTTAGAAAGAAAAACATAATGAAAAATGTCTGTTCAATCAGAATGTACAGTAGCATGAAGCAGTGGCACATCAGATTAAAAGACATGTGAAATGTATCTTTGTGTTATTAAATTTATACATCACATACACACACACACACACACATACATATATATATATATATATATATATGTGTTTTGTTAGTCATTTTAACCCAGAGAAAATTTTCTTTTCCCCCAAACTTATAGTTAATGTTATTGCATCATTGCTTATAAATTTCTCTGTTACACTTTATTTTAAAGTGTCCTTGTTACAGTGTAATTATACATTTAAGTACTGAGTAATATTAATTAACTACATGTACTTACTCTATGCTTAGGGTTAGGATTAGGGTTTGGCTTAAGGTAACTTGCATGTAATTATGCATAATTAATAGTAATTGTAATAGTAAGTACATGTAACGTGTAACAAGGACACCTTACAATAAAGTGTTACCAATTTCTCAATATACTATGTTATTACCAAATATTGAATTCAATCTTTTTTTCAACTTCAACTTTTTTTCAACACAGGTTTTGTATTTCTTTTTGGAGCTTACTGATTCTAGGCTTCATTGATCTGAGCTTATGCACCTCAGTGTTTGAGTGAACTTTGTCAAAATTACCCACCTCATAAGCTCAGATCAATGAAGCCTACAATCGATCAGTTCCAAAAAGAAATACAAAACCTGTGCTAATTGAAAAAAAATCAAAAAGACTGAATTCAAGATTTGGTGATAATATAGCATAATGAGATATATACAAGCTATTTTTTAAAAAAGGCCAGTCATTTTTAATTGGGGACACCAAATTAGGTAAAGGATTTTCAGTGCAGGACAAGGGTTAAACACTTTTCAGACTTTTTGTCTTCCTAATACCGGGCCTTAATGGAAGCTTTGGTATAATTTGAACACTGTTCTCCACTGAAATTGGGTTGTCTTAACTCTTCCCCTCCTCCCTCCCTCTGGTCTCACTCTTTCCATTCTAAATGTTTTTCATAGTCGGACGTCTTTACCTTCACCAGTAATCAGGTGTCTTCATCAGAGGCTGTGCGGCAGACGACACATTCACCAATCATTCTGACTTTCACCAGCTTTGGCACGGTGTTATTTGATGTCACGGCAGCACAAAGCACGCCACCTGTTCCTTTCCTCAAATGCGCTTGTCTCTGATTGTCCATTGTTCAGCGATTTAAATTGTTCCTTCCATTGTACTCTTATCTTTTCTTTCTTTCATTTTCATACGTTCTTTCTGGTCAGATTGAACTAGACTATCATTGATTGCCCGGGCTGGAAGAAACACGTCTCTAAATTGCAATCGGTGTTTTTTACAATCCCTACAAACTGATTGCATATCAAAAAATAAAGAAATAAATAAATCATGCAGTGTTTCCAGTAGACAGCCGGCTGCTACAGTTATAATGTATTTCCGATATGATCTCATTTTGTCTAGTCCTTTTTGTTTCTACCCTTGATGAAAAGATCCTTCCTGCATTTTTCTCAGATAACACTCTCTGCTGGTGACAGATAAGAAATATAGCACACCATGATGTTCTGGAGAGTTATGTTAATTACTACCACAAGACAAGCTCCACTCAAACTCTCAAACAACATCTGGGCGGTCTGTCGCCGCAGCACTTCACGTATGAATGATGGTTGCTTCACATCTGAATCTTACACTCTAAAAAATGCTGGGTTAAATACAACCCAGTGCTGGGTAAAATAGGGACAAACCCAGCAATTGGGTTGTTTTGACCCCCTATTTTACCCAGCACTGGGTTGTATTTAACCCAGCATTTTTTAGAGTGTAAGAATTACTTGCATCTAAAGCATTTTTCTAAGAAGTACACCCTAGTCAAATTAAATTAGAACAATATCCAAACCAGATTTGGACTATTTTCCAAAACCTGAGGAGATTAATGCCTATGCTACACCTACATGGGTGGCTGTCTTTTTAATGTATCCTCCTAACTGACTGACTGTTGAAATCCCATAGACAGCAACTAACAAATAATCAGCATCACACAAATAATACTGACAAGTCATTTAAAATAATAAAAAAATGGATCACTCCTAGAATTACGAATAGAAGAAATTGCAATGCGTAATAGGCGACTGTACAAATGGGAGTCAGTTAAATGTAAAATCAATTAAATGAGACAAAATGCATTGTCATTTTAGCATAAGAAGCTATACATTTATTTTGGCAGTGTATGTTATTGAAATAATTATCTGAATAATTGAAATAATTATTGTAATTTTGACAAATAGAAAAAGTACATATTAGTACGTAAGTTAGTACTAATATGTAGGCTACATATTAGTACAAAAGTACATATTATTATTCCCACTGCACACAAACTTACCAGATCACTCAGTGCATGGTTATGGAGTTTACTTACTTTTTATGTGTTTTTAACAACTTCTTTATTTGAAAAAAAAAAAAAAGGATTACAGATTTACAGTTGGAATCTGTTTATTTTTACAGATTTATTTTTTCGATCAAGTTTTAATTATTTCTGATGAAATATTATGTAAAATAAATATACTGTACATTTCATGGCATAAATTATGCATGTGTTATTTACTATCGGCCACCCTGCTTTCTAAGATATTCTGGCATTATCGGCTTTCTAAGATATTCTGGCATGATTTCAGCAAACCAGGCTTAATTAGGTCATACTGTTTCAAAACTTTTGTACTTTCAATGATTTAATGCAAGGAGACATTGATCTAAAGATGAACCCATAAATCAGTGTCTAATGGTTTTAACTTATATGAGTTAATTGATTTAGAGTTTTGAAAAGCTCAGTTTCTCCCGTCACTATTTTATCTCTTGTCTGCCTGTGGGCATAACTAAGAACTTACTTGCCTTGTTAGATAGGCTATACTTTAAATAGCCTAAAATATTGCATACTGAAATATTGGGCAAAATAGTTTCTTTTAATTAGAGTTCAAACTTTAACTGTACTTTTTTTGTATAAATGAAATAGAGTTTGATGGTGAATTAGGATTGTGTACAAAGGAAGGCATCTATAAAGGCAGTATAACGTTGCTGCTGCCTTTGGGAACAGCCTTCAGATCTGAAGTGTGCACATGATACACATTTATGAGTGTTTTTAAAGCTCTGAATTTCTCCCTCATAAGACAAGTATTAGAAGGGAGAATATGAAGGTACAAAGGGATCTAATAGATAAGAAGCTAAATCCATGGATAGTGAGTAAATGTCTAACAAGAGAGGTTCTGTGATGCACATCCCGTCTCCACATGTATTTCCTGCAATCACATGCATGAATCATTTATGCTCTTTTTTTATTCTCTTGTCTTTTCTCTCTTTACAGCTTCCTTCGGCAACATTTCATAGCTCGTCTATCCTTTTGGCAGCTCTCTCGACGTCCCGGCAGATACGGGAGGACTTGTTCCAAACGGCTACAGACAGAAAGAGAGAGCGAATCTGCCTGACGGTGGAGCTGTGGACTGTTAACTCAACACCAATTTAACAGACAAGAACGTCTTTTTATGCAGATCTGAATGGGACTCAAAAGGACAAAGTCGGACTCTAAAACTGTAATATAGTGATAAGATTCAAGTCTCACCTCATCTCTACAAAACCTAGAGCACCAACCAGAGCTCTGTCAGACAACAGTGAGCATACGAATTGGATCAAGACGTTGACTTTCAAGAAGTTGACTCCCAATTCAAAGATGAACATTGATCTCAGATCATGTTAAGGAGCGCTTCATCTCATCTAGTGTTGGGATGTCTGACAGACCTGCTTTTTTTAACCCAGCATCACTCGCTCGGACGTAGATGCAATGCTGAAGAAATCCTGTTTCTACAAGTGTGGGAACAGACAATTCCTTCTCCTACCTCTCACGATAGATTGTATCATTTCATTTGCAGAGAATTAGATATAGATTAAGGCATGAAGTTTGATTATCCATTATCTTCCCATTCAAGCTAAAGGGATGTTCACACTGACAAAAACAATGACTACATGATCTGAAACTGGATATTATGGACAATTTGTTTAAAAATTAACATTGAGTGTTAATAACATCAGATGTACACACCTAAAAACCAACCATCGTTTTGCTTTTCTTCTCAGGACGTTCAAGAGCTTCGTACATTGTTCCTGCTGTTACCGTCATAACTTATATTCTCGATTTCAGTGTGCTTTTTAAAATCTTGCACACAATGTGGCAGGTTTTCTCCTAATATACGAAGAATATATCAGAGTATGAATATACCTTTACTCTAGGAGTTAGAGTACATGTCTAGATCACTCGTAGAAGTCCCAGTTGTCCAAGCAATAATGTAAAGAGGTGCCACATGTCTGCATGGCTAGACCTGTTAGAGACGGTCTACAGCATACTCTACGCAAGCAAATGCTTCTAGGTTCTACATCAATTTGGTGTTGCGTTGCAAGATGTCGCAATTTATAACACACTTCAAGTACAGTCAGTTTTCTCTTTCAGGTCAAATATTGTGATGGCGGAGCTGGAGGCTGAGAGAACACCAAATAGTTGTTTGTTTTCATTGGATCAGTGCTGTGTTTAACCATGTTGGTGTTTGTTTGGTCAGTGTGGACATGGCAGTTGTGTTTCCCAACATAATAAATCCAAAAGCTAACTTGAAATGTTTGAAATGTTGCTGGCTGTGTGAACTAGGCTTTTGAATAATGAGGTTTGTTATCTCCAAGAATGCAAGAAGGCATGTTAAGTATGTACTGTAGAGAGACAGTTTGTTTCCTCTAGTGTGATAAAGGAGCTTTTGCGGAGAGAATATAATTCTTTCCATATTGTGATTTTGTCTTTATTAGTGCTGATGAATCCTGAACGCTTCAACACTCAACTACACTGTGATGCAGTGGCATGTTTAAGGAAAGCTTGAATGTTAGTCTGAGTTACTGTAAAATCTAATTTTTACAAAGCAGCTGGAGTCTCAGTGTGACACCAGTCATCGTTCAAGGGTTTTACACAATGTACTCAAAGCTGACGGAAATCTGGCCCCGTGACACAAACCAATTCAGTCCATCCAGGTTGTAAGTGTTTATATGAAACTGACAGGCCGGAATTCTCTCTGAAATTCATGTGATGTAATGATAGATGGGTTTCCAGGGCGTTCCGCTGATTCTTGCATTCTGACACACACTAGCATTTTTTCTCTCCAGACGTGCAATGGGTTTTTTCTTTAAAATCTTATGCAAAAAATGTGAGGGAAATGAACATTGGTTATGTAATGACTTGCTTCCAACATGATTATACAAGACATGGTGTGGCAAAGACAGCTGTGTGCGTGTGTTTTGGAATAAAGTTTTCAAAATGCAGATTTCTCATATGTGAATTTGTCTTTCACTATTGTTTGAAACAATAGGGCAACAGAGTCGCGTGACAGACACAGTGATGATGCAGTACACAAGCCGCGGTTAAGACAGCTGACGTGCTATGATTTCTGACAGGCAGTTCACTCTCCTGTGATGTGACCCTGTTCCCCTCACACACACACACACACACACGACGCGTTACTCTGCGCTGGGCAAAACTCCGCATTTGAACACTCCGCATTTGAACAGTCAATAGCAAATAGCAATAGCAAATACTTAAACTAATAACAAAACATTCTGATTCAGAAGAGCCAGATTGTCATAGCAAAGTCTGAAAATACCCAAACTTAGTGCACAGCCAGCCTTGTACTCTTCTAGGTTAAAAAAACTGTCGTCCATAAAATGCG